TTTATTCCAAACTACGAAATCCCGAACAAATTAAAAGTTAAGCGATAACAATCGGTGAGGTGTCGTCGGTCCGGCGGTGCTGGTGCTGGTAATGGAGCTTTGCAGGTTAAAGTTTGCCACAGAGGAGGCTGGTGGCGGCACAGCCGATGCTGATTGATTGAAATTGTGAGTCGAGGCAGAGACATTCGACGGCGGCGGCGGAAAGTGGTGCTGCTGTCTTAGGTGGTGCGTGGTCCCTAGCGGCTGATTGTGATGGCCGGAAGTCTGGTGGTGGTGGACGGCACTGCCCAGACCTCCCACTGAAGGGTTGAACATCTCACTGTGCGGATGATAGTGATGGTAGTGATGTGGAGCTCCAGCACTCAGCGAAGATGAACGTGTGCTGCTGCCTGAAGAGGCGGCTGCTTGAGCTGCGCTGTCCACCTCATCGGCGGCAGCTGCAAAGCTGGAGTTGTTCCGCACTGAACTGTTTCTGCTCTGACTGGCAGAGGAGGAGGTAAAGTGAGACACCGGGTTCAGCGGGTGAGTGCTGCTCGAGTACGTCACTGATGTTTGCGAGGGTGGTGGGTGTGCATGCGGGTAGAAGGCAGGATGGGTGGCCGGGTGGTACTGGTGCGAAGAGTGGGCGCCACTGCCCGGTGCTGCATTTTGGTAGGAGGAGACACTGGACGCGAATGGATCCACCACTAGTGGAGGAGCTGCCACTGACTGAGGAAGAGAAGATGATTTAGATGCTGAGAGCTGGCCGATTTTGGGCAATGCACTGTTGGAGATTAACGGTGCACTACTAGCGACGGCCATTGAGGACGCTGATGAGCTGGCGTGAGATGACTTGCCACTTTTTGCAGTGGAGGATAAAAACTCCGAGGTGCTGCTTGCGTAAGCACCCGGCGACGAGCTCAGCGTGGAGTCAGGCAAAAGGCAGCCGATGTTGAAGTTGGTGATGTGACTAGAAGACGACTGGTGGTGGTGGTGAGGAGGGTACATGGGTGGATTGGGAAAGTTGTGCCGAGAATGGGTCGATGAGCTGGAGCTGGCAGATGGCTGGTAGCTGCTGCCACTCGTTCCGCCGCCGCTGCTCGTGGCAGTGGGCGGCATGACAAAGGTGTGACTTGCCTGCGGCTGAGGTCGGAAGATGGGATAGTTCACCAGTTGATTGTGATCGCTTAGGTCGGCATGGGAGGAGGAGGAGGACAGTGTAGGGTCATTTGCTGTCTCGTAGNGCTGAGGTCGGAAGATGGGATAGTTCACCAGCTGATTATGATCGCTTAGATCGGCATGGGAGGAGGAGGAGGACAGTGTTGGGTCATTTGCTGTCTCGTAAGAAGATCGGTTATCGTAGGAAGGCGGTGGCAGCTGGTCAGACGGCTGACTTGGCGTGAAAAAGTTAGAGTACGATGAATGGGGAAAGGGCTGGTGAGAGTGGTGGTGGTGGGAATGGGCGTGAGAGTGAAAGGACGGCGGAGCAGTGGAGGAGGCGGTGGTGGTGCTCATCACCGAAGACGAGTGACCGGCTGTCACCGAGGTCACCGACAGAAATGTCATCGGGTCGGTGATGATGGCTGGAAAGGCAGGGAACGAGGTGGCAGCGTCGTTTGTCAGCGACGGTCGATGTGACGGGTGTGTCGGTGTGTGACTGTGGTGGTGGGCATGGTGGGTGTGATGGTGAGACCTGGAGAACAGGTTGGCTGATGCACTAGCCGTTGAGCCGCTCATGTGATTCGAGGCCGCCTGTGAAAACTTTGGATCGGTCCCAGCACTGGTGGAGGAGGTGGCTGCTGATGCAGAGCTCAGCTTGGTAGTGCTTTTCTTTGAAGTAGCTGCACTTGATTTAGTGCTGCGGGTGTTTGAAGCAGACGTTGAGGTGGTGGATGCCTTTGCTGAGGTGGTGGACTTTTGTTTGCTGTAAGAGGATGTACTTGCTGATGAAACGGTGGTGTTTGCCGCAGTACTACTATTACTACGGGACGCATTTGAAGTAGCCCTTGAAGTAGCTGAAGAGGCGGCCGCTGAGACGGAGGATCGAGGAAAGTTGTCTACGATTGATGATCCGTTTTGTTGGTGGCTGCTGCTGCTCTGATCGTCAAGGTTGGCCAGCGAGTATGATCCAATGGAGTTTAGCTCAGGAATGAAATTGAATGCACTCGAGGGGTTCGGTGGTAGCGATTTATGAGAAGTTGACCCGAACACTGCATTGGGAACGGATGTATCAAAAGAAGTTGGCGTCGTTGACAACAGCGAAAACGGCGCAGGCACCTGATTAGCAAAGAGCACAGAGCTCGCATTGGCATTGCTGTATGACTGAGAGCCGCTAAATGCATTCGTCGAAACTGCTGAGCTGTGACTTGCTGCTGAGGGCTCATGTGGCCAAGAAGATATAACCAGAGAAGACTGCATCAGCTGATTGTCAGCAATGCTTGGATCGAATAGATTTGGAGTCGTCGCTGAGCTGGAAACGCCAAGAGCTTCAATATTCTCAAACGGTTGATTTCGCTTGGAGCAAAGCGAAGAGACTGACGAATGACTGAGATCAAAATTGTGCTTTTCAAGTGTTGAATTACTTGATGAGGTAATGATAGGACTGCTGTTGCTCATTAGCGAATCCTTGACGGTAAAACTAGGCACACTAGGCTGCTGTTGATGGTAGGCTAACGTGTGATCTGTTGGATTGTTTGACTGCTGGGACTGCTGTTGGTTGAGATTACTTCGCGATTCTGTAAGAATAAAGAGTGTGTAAAGTCTTAAAATAAAAAGTTAAAAGAAAAACATACCAGATGTATTCAGTTGGCTGGAGTTGGCTTGAGATTCGCCTGGTAGCTGAAGTAAACTTTCAGTCGAGTAGTTACAACGATTGGAAGTTGAATTAGTCAGGACTGCTTTCTCTGCGGCTGACTGGCCGGTGTTCGTCGGCGTTGCTATTTGAGAATCGTTCGAGTCATCTTCAACTTGGTAAATGGTTACCGGAGATGTTGATGGCAACATTTTGCTCCTAGTGCCAGGTAAATCTGCTTTTTCAACATTGGTCGTGTTGGAATTCACTGACTGCTGACTTGTAGAGTTGCCCGTTGGCTGTCCCGAATCACTTGTTTTGGTCTTTTTGTTCGCCTCTATGGATTGCTCTTCAGAAGCTGAACTTCGTTTTCCGACTTGCTCTTTGTTTTCTACTGATTTTCTGTTATCCAAAGTACTTTCATTATGTTCAGTGGCACTGTTGTTCACCGTGTCATCAGAATCGTCCTCTTCACATCGTTCAATGGTTGTTGTTAAGGAGGAAGGTTCCTTTGACGGTCGTTCCGGTGGTTTGCTGTTTGTCAAAAATTCCACATTACCCTTTTCATTTTTTTTCTTTGCTTTAGTAGATTTTTTGTTTACATTTACTTTGTTATTATTAGAACTATCTTGATGAACCAAGTTTGCAGTGGAAGTTTGTGAAGTGCCGGGGGCCGAAGTGATGTTGGTGTTTAGAAAAACATTTTGGTGATTGTTTGGAAAAATTGGCGCCGAGCAAATCATTGGAATCAGTTGAGCTTGGGCGTTGGGACCAGTGGAAAGAAGAACATACTGAAGCTGTGGTTGTTGCAGTGGCAGTGTGTTGATCACCTGAATCGTCTCACTTTTGACCGGAAACTTGTTTTCGGGTTCGGAAGATTCCGACGAGTCATCACTACTTTCATTTTCGTCTTTGTCATTTGAACTTTTAGACTTTTTACTTTTAACTAAATCCTGCATTTTGGTTGCAGATTCTTTGCTCTCAAGGAAAACTTTATTAGAGTACTTCAGTGGCTTCTTCCAGTTTCGGTCACCCATCTCTACAGCTGATGCTGCTGAGATGCCCGCTAATTTTAGCAGTTTTAGGTAGTTTTTATTAGTTTTTTCCAGGTGCTCAATGTACTTTTTTAGTTGACTAATTTCTTGAGCTAGAAAAAAAGTAATGAATACAAATTCAGACAAATTGCCCAATGCTCAAACTTACCCTGAACTGAATTGGGATTAGCAAACATTAGCCCGTCATTTTTATTTCTGAGCTCCAGAACATACGAATAAAGTTGCTCTAGGCGGCTGATTCGCGATGTTTTACCTACACACTTCATCGGTAACAAGTCCACAATCTTGTCAATCATTTCAATCATTCGCTTTTTCCGCTTTCGTTCAGTATCATTGTGAATTAGTTGTTTTAGATTAAATCTTTCAGGTGTAGATGTTTTTTTGCTTGTTTTGGAAGTCATATTGTAGAGCGTGAAATTATTGAGTTATTTTAAAACCAAAAATATATCACAGAATAAAATGATTTGTACAAAGTTAGGAAGTTAGGAAGTGAAAAATCGGAGACAAAAAATCTTGTTTTGTTTACATCTTTGAAAGCGCAAACGAGTTCGTAACTTCCTCAGAAGATGGCGCTAGTGCGACAAAGTGATTAAAAAATAAAAACTTGATAATGGCAAATTATCAAGAAGTGCACTCAAAATCTACAAATCTAAAAATTGTTCATTTCCGTGATGTTCAGTTGATCATCTACATCTCCGCATAATTGCAAATCGGCTATCTTGTTACACAACTAGCAAGGACGCCAACTGCTCTTGCACTCTAAAATAACTAGTTTACGTCGGGAGATGCTTTCCGTTTTTAAGTTTTTATCAGGTCTGAGAAATCTTCCAATTGTAACTGCATGTCTAGGAAGAGAGTCTATCAATTGAGCGAAAGTATAGTAAACTGATTAGCCCATGCAAAAACAAATTTAATCGCACCGGGGCATATCTTCAATGACTATCACACTACTCATTTAGGGCAAACCTGTTTGAAGAGTGCTAGGTGGAAATGAAGAAAAAGATAAAAATGTTACACATACAAAAGAGTGAACATTTGTGTTATATTTTTGATGAGAAAAAAGTGAATTAGAAAAACACGATGAGGAACTAAAGGAGCAGCTTTTACAGAGAAATGACTTTTAGCTGCTGCACAGGTGCCCACTGTGGTAATCCTTATGTTGCTGTCGAAGTGATTTAGGGATAGCGTTTTAGTATGCCGATAACTTTTCGATTGACTTCCACCGCAGTGGTGAGGCCGATTAGCGGGTCCATGTGATTGGCCTTCGGATCTGAAAGCTCGTAAAATTCTCGTGCGTGCTTCAGGTCAGTCTTCAGACTCTCCACGCCATCCTGGGACATGTAGAAGTCATTCAGTCCGTAGATTAGGTACATGTTTGGATGTGTGATGCGCTTTAAATCGTACTCCGGCGGCTCGGGACTGCCGTACTTGATCAGATTCTTCTCCTCTGAGCCGTGGTCAAACTTCTGAAAGCGATTCGTCTTGAAAACCTGGTGAAAATGAATCAGATTTTGCGCTGCAGTCGTCGTTGGCATGTGTCCCGTGTAGACGCCGATTCGCTTCTTGTCCAGTTGACTAAAGTTGGGCCCGATCATGAAGGAGTACACTAGGACGCACATTTGACGACTTATTGGCAGCTCACAAGCGAGGCCGATTCGATTTCCGGAGACGCGTGATTTTCTGGTGAAGACAGGCCCACCATTTCGTCTGAAAGTTATTATAAGAGGTAAGCAACAAAAAGTGAGAAAGGTGAAATCACACAGCCGACTACTGACTTGAATCGTGACTGAAGCATGGAGATTACTCTTTTGAAGAGCGTCCGGGCATTTTTGATGCGAGTGATGGGCGATATGGCAATAAATGTCTCAATTGTGTGGTCGTACTCCTGACTCTGAGAAAGAAGGGCAAAAATGACCGAAGTGCCCTGCGAATGACCAATGACATGCACTTTTTCTGCAAAAATATGACGTTTTTAAATTAAAAACTGCATTAGGTAGTTCACACTTACTGAAACCGGTAAACCGGACAATGTAATCAAGAAACGCTGGGACGTCATTCTTGGAAATGTCATCAAAGCAGAACTTCCAAAACTGTTTATCCTCCGGGTTCAGCCAGAGATGACCCATGCCGTACTTACTGCCCCCTTGAACCAAATTTGGCAATTAATTCTAACGACTTTTAAGCTGGTTGAATGCTGCACTTACTGTTGTTAATCATCCAAACGTCAAAGCCTTGCTTGTGCAACTCCAATCCCATGTTGCGACCAATGACGCGCGGATCTTTGCTCACCTCAGTGGTAGCCATGACAAACTCGGCCGAGTTGCCCACCAGGCCGGGAATGAGCACCACTGGCTTGCCGCCTGGATTCGGTATTCGATGCAGCTCGACGATGTACCCATCATATGTGGCCACCGGGTGAATTTCACATGGAAAGCCTCTTAATTGAACTATTTCACACTGCAGGAACACATTTAGTTAGATGAGCATTTTTACTATCATATCATTCATTACCGTCGTTCGATCTTGGTCGAGATCGTGCCTATTATTTGCTGCAGAAGATAATGCCAGTAGAATAATATTGGAAAGAATCATACTGAAAGAGGATAATCAGTTTTATTTTGTCAGTTGAAACTGTCGATTATATCACTGCACAGCTTACTCGTTTGTGATTTATTGTAAATGTAGATTTTTTGGTTGAAAAAGCAGTTGGCACAAATTCTCGTATATAAAAAAATTAAAAACAAAAAACATAAACAATTTTTAACACAAAAAATAACATGATGAGAAAGTCTTGTGGCCGCCAAATAGTGTTAAACGTTTTAAACAGTTTTATCAAGTGCACAAGATAAATGCATTTATTTAGAGGCAAAATTTGTTTGATTTTTGCACAAATTTCTCTCAAAGTAAAAGAGAAAACTTGTTACTCTTTGACAGAAATGTGGCGGTTTTTGCCTTTTTAATCGAAAATGAATCTGTCACCTTTGTTAAATGCATCAAGCCAATTTGCAATTAGACTAGTTTTTATTGTTGAATGTTTAGTCTGCCTTGTTACTTAGGCTACTATGAAAACTTTGTTCCAAGTTTAATTAATGATTATCATTTCTACTCTTTGCCGGTATATTTAAATTTTGTACGGTTTGAAAATGTAGGATGTGACGGTCTTTGCACTTGTTGATCTGATACAGCTTGTGTCAAAGTTTGTTTATTGATGAACATTTTAATTTGCCTCAAGCAAATTATTATTCAAAATTTTCTAAACAATCTATTGCACTAGGCAGCAATCAATATAAATGATAGATTTAAAGTCAAACTTTTACAAATTCTCATTTTTCTTGCAAAAAATCTTGAAACTTCACAACAAACTAAAATCAATGCTGTTGACTGTAACTGGCCACAAAAAGGTAACACATGTAAGCGCATTCACTCACACAAAAAGTCATCTAAATAGACTGTACCGTTTTTAATAAAAGAGTGAGCAGAACATCTTGTATGTTGTCAGCAAATTTCAGGTGTAGTAGGCCACTGAAGCAGTTCGTCAGTGACACCGCACTGTCTTGTCATTAGCATTAATTACTGTGTGTAGGGTCGAAAGCTGCTAGTGGCAGCTTGTGCAGACATGCACAGCCTACGCCGACAAATTAATTGCTCCCTTCTCTGGCCATGCTGAAATGCTGCTGCTGCTGTTAGCAAGATCTATGACTGTGTTTGTGTGTATGTGTCTGCTTGACAATTCGGTGTGTTCTGCAACAGCAAACTGCTGCACTAATTTTCCATTAGCGGTGATACACCTTCACTTGGGTCTGCACTTGCTTGATGAACGAGGCAGACAGGCATCTGCCACAAATGCACACTGTACACTGCTAACAGAAAAACAAAAAAAGAGAAAAATGTGAAGATGATTTAAAAACAAGGTAATAGCAGAATGATATGCTAAAATGTTGTGTGACAATATGCAAATTGTTTATGACTGATTTTTGTTTGCTTTTTTCATTTGTGAATTTTTTTCTTAGTGCTTTGTAAAATGGAGTTTTAAAGTTTTGTAACCAAGGGCATAACCAGAAAGGCAGTGTTTCTCTAACCATTAATTACTGCTAGCATTTCCCGAGAATCAATTGGCAATCAAATTTAGCATAGAGCAAGACAAAACATGTCATTGACTGGTGGTCAATGTCTCTTCACTGGTTGTCTCCTTTCCTAATAAGCAAGCATTTGTTGCGGTCAGTTGGAGCAGCATATGGCCAACCTTTTACTCCAGCTTTTTTCTCTGCACTGTAACAACTGTACCTTGCGATTCGTGATCCGAATGATAATGCAACGCAAGCAAGTGAGAAAGAAAGGAGAAGTAAAAACGGCGCTAAGTACCAAATTCTCAATTTGGCAGCTCCAATTTTAGTTGAAATTGAAATAACGTACTTTTGAGAGCTTACTACTGCTAAATTGGCATTTTTAGCTGCAGTCTTTTTAAAACGCCTTGACGACATTTGTAAATGTCTAATTTTAACCTACTACAAATGACCAGAACAGAGCTTGTTTGAATATGATATTTTTAAATTATTTAAAAATTTTAAACTTACAAATGTGGTAATTTAAGAATATTAGTTGATGTCATTGACAACTCTCTTACTACTGCAGATTTAAATGTGCTATAAGTTACAATATTTATTGTTACAAATGACTTTTTAAATCTAAAACAAATTATTTAAGTGTTAAGTTTTTGCAGTATCAAGCACCAAAAACAGTTGTGTTTTCTTTTTGCGCGTTTAAATTAAAAGTTAATTACACTTAAATATTAATTTACATGCTTTATTATGCAAATGAATACAAAGGTTCTCAAGTTTTAATTAAATTTTTACTGGACAAAGGAGTAACTTGGATTTAACTTAAAAACTTAATTTAATGTTTTCTTAATTTAAAATGGACATTTTCTATCATTAATTTACAAAGTTAGTTACTACTAAAAAAATTCAACAACTGCAAAAACAACTTTAATGCAAAATAAAATATTTTGCTTGTCATATTTCTAAAAATAACATTTTTGAAATTAAATTTTTTAAATAATAATGGTATTTAGTAATTGCTAATTAAGTTCAAATATTTTTGCATTCTGTTTGGTGCAATTATTTACTGTCATTATTAAATACATATGAATGCATCTTTTTCAAATATGTGATAAATTGTAATTAACATTTAATTGCACTGAAACCTTTATAATTACCGATATTCCAAACCAAGAGTATAATTTATAGCCTTTTTACTGCTTGATGCTAGAAAATTTTACAAAAAATATTTAAATTAAACATGTTTTTATTTTAAAAAGTTTTATATAAAAGATTTTCCAGTAAACCCATAAAGTGAGTGATTTGAAACAGTAAACCTTCACCAACTAAGACAAGGTTTAAAAGGCAGTAAAAATGTCAATACAACCGTCAATTGTCAAGCTGCGCTTATATATTTTCTCCTGAATGATCTCATTTTGCTGTAATTAGATAATTGCGCATTATGGAACAATACATCGGTCAGAGGGGACATGTTATGAGCGGCCAGGGAGTTTACGATTCAAAGAAATACAGGGTGAACAGGCTGAACACACTAATGGGCAGTCAGCCTAGCCAGCCATTGTTGCTACCATAACCGTCCTAGCGCCTATTATCCTCAATGGCGGCGTTTTAAATTATTAATTCTAGACAAATACTAAATTGTAAACATTTGCTCTTTTTACATTGTTGCAGGTTTTTTGCGTAATAAATTGCGGCAGGTTTACCTATTTTCAATCTCACCCAGTACTCTGGCGTCAGTGTGTTTATTGTGTTTGTGCAGTATTGTAAAATATAAATAAATAACAATTGTAATAATTTTATGTTTAAATTAATCATGAGAAGAAAGTGCAGTTAATATTTTATATTACCGTAGAGATCCTGGTGATTGAAGCAATAGATGCTAAAATTTTATATTTTAAAAATATAATTCAATTACATTGCTTGATCACAATAGATTTTGATTCATTTTTTAACTTTCAATCTGTAATATTTTGACCAATTTTTAATTAACATTTCAATCAAATATTTATAACATTTTTGACACTCACATTTTACGTTCACTGTCAAATATTTACCTACAATGAAATAGAACAACACTTCAATTTGCACAAATTTAATCAAAATGCCGGCTTTTTTATGTTTCCGGCTAGTAGCGTTTCCGTTAAATTTGTTTCAAAAAGTGACACATCGCATTTGCAAAGATGATTTTTTTTCTTTTTTACATTTCAACTGTCCATTAGGAACTGTCCGTTTCCTGTGTATTATTTTGCTGTTTTTTCAGTTTGTAATGATAAAGTCAAGCCACCGTTTGATGGTCTCATTNTTAAATTTGTTTCAAAAAGTGACACATCGCATTTGCAAAGATGATTTTTTCTTCATTTTTACATCTCAACTGTCCATTAGGAACTGTCCGTTTCCTGTGTATTATTTTGCTGTTTTTTTCAGTTTGTAATGATAAAGTCAAGCCACCGTTTGATGGTCTCATCGCTGGAGGGCATTGTTCTGCTTCGGTTCTCGCCGTGCTTGTCATCGAGATGTTTGCTAGAGGGACTTCGTTTTAAGAACACTAAATAGCCACTTGCAAAGTCAAGTGAACAGTTTCCACCACTTAATGTTTGAATGTTGTTTGCTGACTATTTTTTCAGTTAACTTTTTCAACTTTATTAAAAATAAGCAAAATATTGTAACAGAAAATTTGTTAAAAATATTTTACAAAAATACGCATTTTTGCAGAAACATTAGTTTATTCTGCAATCAAACTAAAAAATGTTTGTATACAGCATTTGGTTGTTTATTACTAAATCTTAAAACATCAAATGTTTTTCAATCTAAAAGTTAATGGCTAAATGGTTGTACTTTTTTTAACAATAAATGAAAATAATTTTTTGTTACAATCATTTTTTGCGAAAAATGGTTTTAAAAGTTTAGCCGTTTAAATTAAATACTTAAAAAATGTTACAATTTACATTAAAAAATACAATTTTTTGTATTCATATGTGTGTTTTTTAATGTACTATATGCATTTGTTCAATTTAGACTTTATGTTGGCAAATGCAACAGCAGAAAAATCCTTTTTGGATTAAGTTAGGTGATCAGAACGAAAATGTATGTCCGATTGAATAGTTTTCTAGTAGAAAAGTGAACCAAGAGAATGAAAGCAAATAAATCGCTAATCTCATCTTATTGAAAATACACAAATTTAAATTGACTTTTTTTTGCTTTGCTTTAGCGGTGTAACAGTGGCACATAATAGTTTTTACAAATTCGGAATTTATTTTCTCGTTTCAGTGTTCAGTCCACTAGAAAATGAAGTGGACAACAAATGTATGTTTAATATTGTCCAAAAATAATGCTACCAAATGCATTTAAATTTTTGAGAAAACATTATTAGCATATTGCCAAAACCGATTTCAACAAAGCTGGTAAACGGAATTTAGTTGTAAAAAACTGCCAAACAATCTTATTTGTTATTTATATATTTATTCTCTTTTCTGCCTAACTTGTTTACTTCAGAGGTGTTTTCAGTGGATGACATAAAGTGAAAGTGATCTCATT